TTTAAATAGAACTATTTCTATATAGATCTACACCTACATATGCTTTTTTTTTTTGCATCTCTGTTGTGTTTTTGAAGAATTACAGCGTGTTTCTCAGATGGATTTTCCAAGTTGGCCCGGCTTTCTTTTATTTTTCTTCTCGATAATCACAGTAGTTCTCTCTCCCTTCTCTTCCTTTCAGGGATAGATCAAGCTTGTTAACATCTGAAAAAATGCCAGAAAATGCTGGAAAATTTAAAGGTGTTCAGTAAATGTAATTGCTCACAGTTGGTATAGATGTTGGCAAACTAGATCCCTCAGTTGAGATAGTATGCACTGCAGTCCTATTTGCCATCCAAAAGTCTTGTTTTAATGAGAACTATCATATTCAGAACCAAACATACTATTTTCCCAAGCTTTTCTAAAACACTACTGTTTCCTGATGGATGACAAAGCCTCATTTTTCCTCAGAAAGGCTATTTAATTTCATCTCCACAATGACAATGTTTCTATTCGTTTGCCCTCTGCGCTCCTAGCTAAATTTTGAAACTCCTTCAACAAAGTAATATAATAGTAGATAATAATAATAAACCAGAAGCATTTACCATTAATATGCTGCTGCCAAGTCTCTTGTTAAGACTCAGCTGGCTAGGGCTGAAACCAGTGATCTTCTGCTGATGTATGATGGCCACAAACTATTCCTGAGTAAAGATTATGGGACCAGAAATCAAGACCTATGTGCTACCATGAATTTTTTTGTGGGTGCATGCCTGTATCGAGGCCCACTGAAGTCAGCATGACTCTGAGCCCAGCTTGAAGTCTGCCTGCACAGGGCTTATCCCGGGGCTGTGACACTTATGGGATATACAGTGAAAGCTGCAGTAAGGACCAGGCACCTTCACAGACTCCTTGCTTAGATGATTCTTCACATGTATCTTGAAATTTCCTAACACAAATTTGTTTCGCTTTCCTAAAAGCTAGCTCTACTCACAAATGACTTTTGCTTGTGCTTTGGATAGTCACTTAAGACAGGCTTCACTGTGTAAATTTGTGTGCATGTACACAAGCTGTCTTCAGCTCTCACGATAAGCAGCTATCTTCTGTGCAGAGAGGCAATGCTTACAAAAAGGACATTCGTTATCGTAAGAAATACAGAGAGAGCAGAAGACAATGTCCTTGTCCCTCACTTTTTAGTAGAAGAGAATAACTATATAAGCTGAGAGCCACAACACATACCAGATGAAACCTGCCATCTTTGCTGTTTGAAATACAGCTCTCCTTTCTTCTTTTATGACGTTGAAGAACATTCTTTTTAATGCTCAAGAAAGAATGTTTTTGTTTAGTTTGTAACTATCATTCCAGAGATTCTTTGGCAGCTGATGGCTTGGTTTCATCATTCATGGAACTAAAACCTCATTCTAACATTTTGTTGGGTTTTGTCTTTAAATTATGGTGTACAGAAAGACAGCCTTCACCTCCTAGAGTACCAAAAAAAAAAAAAAAAAAAAGAAAAAAGATATTGTCTCTTTAATGAAAGAAGAGCATCAATATACTGTATTACTGAATGCAAATGCAATAAGGAATAACATAGCTCTGGTTATGTTATATGACATTTGGCTTAGCAGTATTAACATATTGCACAAAATCTGGATTATCCCTATTGCAGAAAATAAGATGATAAAAGACAAGGGAAATTTCTTTCTTCCATGTGATCATAAAGTAAATATTATTATTTTTTCCTTTTTTTCTTCTCACCAGCCATTTGTGAAATATTTTAGTATTATTTCTTTGTTAAGCCAGCTTTTTATCATGTATGTATTAGGCATACAGTACAAGGAGAAATGGAACAAGATGGCAGTTATAGCAGTGGCAAGATGCAAATTTATTCTGGAAAAAAGTAATATGTGCACAATATCAAGCATGCTTAAGTTTGTGCAGGAAAACTATTACGATGAAAAATGGATGGAATGGAATTTTGCATCATACATGATTACATGTTGCTTAACTTCATAGAAGAGTCTTTGTCTACTCCTGATGTCCCAGATGCCACCAAGAGAAGCTGCTTACGACACTGCTGGAGTAAAAATGGCATCAGATACCCCAGCAGCAATCATCTCTGCAACATGACTCTGTTTCAAAAATTAAAGAAATAGACCTCAAAAAGATGACAGAGAAAATTCACAGACCATTGAACTGCAGGCACTAACTCCAGGTGGGGGAGGGGGACAAATTTATTACATCTTGTACTTGAGTAATAATTGAAAGTCTGTAATTGTTTGCTGCTTCATTTTTCCCAAGTTTAATTAGGCTACTTTATGCATGTGATGGTGTTGTCACTGTTTTTCCTCCTGTCTTTCTCATATTGTATGACACATGACTGAGTGTAGCCAAGCAGTGGAGGAGTCATATTTTTCACTGACACCACTTGAAAACCTTTTTATAAAAAAATAAGGGATGAAGGATGAAGAAGAGCAGGAGAGAAGAAATAAAATACCTTAAAGATAGATCTCTACATTAATTCACTATGAGGCAAAAGCGAAATAATAACTCTTCTTCATGTGCCAATTCAATCGGATGAACCAGACTTGCTACTTACTGTATTGGTACAGTGTAAAAATAGATGACAGTGAGTAATGGTGTGAACAAAAAAACCATGAGGAACATCACAGAAATGGATGTTGGATGGCCTTTGCACAGCAGAGGTAGATAAAGGTTATAACAAACTGTTTACTGACCATGTACACTTACTAGAATTAAGAGGTCAGTTGAACAAGAGCTCACCTAATAAGAGCTTTCTCAGTAGTGTGACTCATCAGCTGTTGTACAGTACCAGAGCACTGCCCAGTTATTGCTCCATCACTTTTCAGTAACATCTCTGTCCTTTCAAAAGTCTACATTCTACCATTAGTTAAGGCTTTTTCATTTGTATTTCTACATTTTCCCCCAATTTTGCATCAATTCACTATAATTAATACATGTGCCTCTAACAGAAAAGAAAATAACTAAAAAGCACCATGTTTTATTGAACAAAATATAGCATGTGCAAGGAAGGGAAGGGAGGAATTATAGAAACAAACCAGTGCTGAAGGATTTTGCATCAGCTGGTGCTTTTTGTTGCCATATTTGCACAGATCGCTTTAGGCTCCTCAATCCAAGTTGTAGCAGAACACTATCAAAACAAATACTCTTGCAAAATATTTGAGCTTTTGCAGCTTAACATGTGCATCTTGAACCGCTTAAGCATCATGGTTACCTTCTTTTTGTTTTTCTCCAGAATTTAACAGACCGTAAAGTGTATACAAAAATGCAGTATGCACCAGTGATTAAATGTTCTTACAACATTAATATTTATCAAGGGGTATTTCATAGCTAGAAAGTAGGTAACTATATTTTATTTCCTAAGAGAACATTTTCTATAGTTTTCCTTCATTTCCCAGCTACACAACAAACATCTCTAAAGTGCACTTCCCAAGTGTAGTTAGAGAATAGGAAGGAATGTAAAGTTTTTAAAAACAGCCCTTATTAACTTTTCCTTCCATTGATTCTACTGTAAACTCTAAAAAGCCTTTTTAAAAAGCAAATTCTTATACACTCAGCAGGTGAAATGTTCCCACAAAAATAAAAGTAAACAAATTAAAAACCACCCCAAACAATGAAAAATCAGCAATCATATTACAATCTTTTCTTTTGACTACTCATATCCTAGTATATCTTTACTGGTTTTATTGCACATTTATGAAAACTGTTGTCCTATATATATAAAAAAAAATAGTTTCTTTATCTGTGCTAACACATTCTTGTGCACCCTTAATAAACTAGAGTAACTTTCAACAACATGTAGATATTAGAAAAACAATGGAATCAAAACCAAAGATATACTTCATATTGTAGATGCTCAAAGGCTTCTAGTGTAATTTTGTTGCGAAAAAAAATAATTGGATTTTGGAAGCTCTTGGCTCCCATTCCTTATGGAAAACTGCTGGTTATGTGACAGCAGGAGAACTCAAAACGCAATTCACAATGAATGCCAATCCTTCACCTCCAATATGAAGGCTTCCCAACTACTCAACTTGCTGAGCATAACTGGTTTTACATAGCATATCTAAAAAAGGCTGCTCCTGTTCAACTGACCAGTGAGAAAGGACTGGACTTCTTCAAAAGGGGTATTGGAGCAACAGTTTGTTATATATTTCTTTATATTTTTTTAACTGTCCAATCCCACCTTGTAAGGAGAGCACTTGTTTGTTCAGCTAAAAGGAACCCCCTTCATGCTCCTTTTGGGGTTGCTCAGTCAACTGGTTTGTGCAACAGTGGCAGAGGCACACTGAAATTGTGTACCCATTCATTGTGATTACACAGACAGAAGCAAATGTATGTTGTCTGTGACAGGAGATGGGAAGGGGAAAGGAGATGAATGGTTCCTATGGGTAAGAGGGCAATTAGGTTTGTTTGGGGGTTTTTTGTGGTTGCTTTTTTTTTGCCTTTTTTTTCTTTTTTCCCTCTTTTCTTTTTTTTGGTTAAATTTTGTGTTGTTCTTTTTCGTGGGGTTTTTTGGTGGGCTTTTTTTGTTGATTTTTATTTTTTCCTTTTTTTCTTTTTTTCATTTTTTTAAATTTTTTTTTCAATTTTTTTTCTTTGCTATGTCATGGAATCATAGCAGTCATTCCTCTAATAGAAACTGACAGGACATAAAAGACAGAACTATCAGATGAACACACACAATGACTAGAAATATATCGACAGAGAAAAGACTTAATTTAGCTTTGAGAAACCGTCCCAAAAATAAAATCCTGTATTAACAAGTGCAAAAAAACAAAAAAAAGAAACTCCAAACATTAAAACACAGTGTATAAAATGGTGTGAGAAATTTAAGTCACCGAACAGCCTTTTAGTCAATAAAAAGCTGTATTCATGTGTCCTTGTTGTTTGGGTAGTGGCCCATCCTTTTCATTTTACCCAAAAGGTCATTCAAGAAGAGATCTGAGGGTAAAGCACTCAGTTCTCCCTAATTTTGACTGTAGTAATTTGGGCCTGTTGTGTTTCTATCATGTAAGATGAATCCTTTCTTTTATTCCTCATTGGTTGAATTATCTTCCAAAGTTGTTATGCCTCCAAAGCCCAGTCCTGTTGAGTTCTGTGCTGCTGAGACTGTAAGTACTGTATGTAAGAGAATTAATACAAGAACACACAGTTTGAGTCTGCTGTTACACAGTCTTGATGCTGATGAAACTGTGAGCGATGTCCTGTGACACATTGTTGAGCCACTTGTTTTTATAGTCCCTTTGGATTGATGATCTGATAATAGTCCCCATCTGACATCACAGCATTCTGGTTCTGCATTGGTTGGATAGTTTTCATAGAGCCCTGTAGAGTAAACACAAAAGAAAAATAAACACCACGAACAAAGATCGACAGAAATGGTAGCTCAAACGAAGAGTCTATAATTTAGTCTAAGCTATCAAATCCACATCTTTGGGTGAGACTGAGACACTCAGAAGACCTGCCATTTTGTATGGAGTTGTTGAAGAAATATGTGTCATCTAACAGGAAGGAGCATCAGAAGATCATTCAGCAGAAGGATGGTGTTGAGCATGGTTGTATGAAGAAAGAGCATTAAAAAGTACTTATTAATATTTGAATGACAAGGATATTTGAATTCTTCTTTTTCGCAAAGTAACAACTAATGATGTAGTAACAAATTAAACAAACATATCCACAAAATTTGAAAGGATCTTGAAATTCTTCAGGATGTGAGCACATAACAATATCACTGTTGGTTAAAGGACAGGCATTAAATAACAAATAATTGATGTACCAATGATATTGACAATATTGATTGTCAAACCAATGTAAATCAGACTGGGTCACAGGAACTGCTTCCAAACAGAGCTGTTTGGAGTCCACTTGTTTACCCTACCTCAGCTGAGTTAGTCCAGCTGGATGTTCTCTTCAGCATATCCCAGACGTAAGAACAATCTTCCCTTCCCATACAATACCTGGATCTCCTGATATTTCTGACTACACATCTAGGCCATTTTTGCCTTTGGAACATTACTGAGTTCCTCAGCCTGATCTGATTATTACTGTTTGAGCACTTAAAGGAATTCTGCCTCTTTGGAAATTGCCAATGCTCTCAGTATTACTATGTAGTAACCCTGTTTGCTTCTTGCACTATTTTTTCTGATAAATTAAAAGAAACTAATTAGTCTGTTTAACTAGTGTTCAAATGCAAGAGTGTCTAACATAATGGACAAACACCTTTACTCCATTTGGAATAAATTCGGCAGTAAATAATACACTCTATGTTAGAGCTCGGTTTTACTAGAAAAACAAATCTATCTGTGCTAAAATATTAGGATACAGATTTTGAAAGCAGCTTTACTTCTTGGAACAAGAATTACATTTTCTCTAAAGTATCACAACAGCTATATAACTTTCAAAAAGCAATTTAGGCATAACATTCTTAGGTCCAGGCACCAGACTGCTTGCATTTTGTGAATAACCTGTAAAGAAAGGTAGCACACCTTAAAATATAAAACTGAATACTTTGGTTCCTACTTCTATAATATTGATCTGCAAGTAAACAAAAAAGTGTATTAGGTATGCTGAGCATGTTAAGATGCAGAGCAAACCTAGACTGGCACATTTTTACATAGCTGACATAACAGCCTACTATATTATGCACGAGTTCAAGTAAAGTTGCATCAATTTTTTAATTCAGTGCAGTCAGAAACTTAATGCAGCATTCCAATGCTTGAAAATTATTTATTCTCTCTCAGATCATCCCTGAAAGAACTACATGTGTTTTTAGGAAAGTCTGTTGTGTTTCAGAACTTGTGGGCCATTGTTTATTGCAAGTATAATAAAGCAGTCTCATTGCTAACATCATATTTTCTAATACCCATCTTTTGGTGTGTGGATAAGTGTGTTTTGAAACATTTTAACATACAGGCAGTGCCTCCCAAAGCTGGGAATTATACGATTTGTTATGTGACTGCAGTAGCTCAGATGATTAGTAGTAATTGAAGAGACACAGAGAATTGTTAATGCTTTGATCCCACTGAGGCTTGTTTACTATTCAAACTATATTTTCTGCCTTTCTTGTTACAGGAAAACCCAGGCTTGCTTTGAAATCAAAGACTATGTATACAAGTTGGCAATCAAAAGGTATTTAAATAGTTCATATGCACTTACTGAATTATAAATAAACTGGCAGCAACGTCAGATTCAAAGCTGAAATGAACTTGTTCTTTAATGCAAAATTACATTTCCTTTTTATTTCAATTCAGCAATTGAATTTAGGTTTCAAATTTGCAGTTATATATTTAATAAACAATTAACTACAAAACCACTATTCATATGACAGTGTAGAACACTTAGATAAATTCAGTCATACCCTTTGCCCTGAAATAATGAAACTTCACAACACGTCCTTTACCATATAATTGTTTGTAGCCATAAATATCAGGTTTTGCCCCTTGCATCCAATAAGTCAGTCTACTCAGTCAGAGCGTTGAAAACCTGTGACTTACCAGAAACTCTGCGAAGATGGCTACATCAGCCATGGAAAACCAAAGAGAAAAAAAATCATTTTTCTTTTATCAAAATATTCATAGAAGTACAGAATCACAGAATCATAAAGTGGATTGGGATGAAAGGGACCTCAAAGACCATCTACTTCCAGCCCCCCTGCTGTGGACAAGAACACCATCCACTGGACCAGGTTGCTCAAAAGCCCATCCAACCTAACCTTGAACATTTCCAGGGATGGGGGAATCCACAGCTTCTCTGAGCAACCTGTTCCAGTGTCTCATCACCCTCACAGGAAAAAATGTCTTCTTAATATCTAATCCAAACCTACTCTCTTTCAGTTTGAAACCATTAGCCCTTGTCATCTCACTACATGCTGTTGTAAAAAGTCCCTCTCCATTTTTCTTGTCAACTCCCTTCAGGTATCGGAAGGCTGCAATTAGGTGGTACCAAAGTCTTGTCTTTTCCAGGCTGAACAATACCAATTCTCTTAGCTTTTCCTCATTGGAGAGGAGCTCCATCCTGATAATCAATTTGGTAGCCGTCCACTGGACTTGCTGCAACAGATTGATGCCCTTCCTGTGCTGGGGACCCCAGAGCTGCATGCATTACTCCAGGTGGGGTCTCATCTAAGTGATATAGAGTGGCAGCATCACTTTCCTTGACCTGCTGGCCACACTGCTTTTGATACAGCCCAAGATCAGTTGGCTTTCTGGGCTGCAAGAGCAGATTGCCAACTCATGTCCAGCCGCTTATCCACCAGCACTCCAAGTCCTTCTCTGCAAAGCTGCTCTCAATCTGTTCATCCCCAGCCTGTATTAATATGGGGGTTTGCCCCAAATGAGGTGCAGCACCTTTCACTCGGTCTTGTTAATCCACATGAGATTCCCATTGCCCCAATTATTGAGCCTGTCCAGGTCCCTATGGATGGCATCCCATCCTTCAGATGTGTCAACCACATCACTCAACTTGGAGTCATCTGCAAATTTGCTGGGAGTGCACTCAATCCCTTTGTCAATGTCATTAATAAAGACATTAAATAGCACTCCATTGCAGAAGGCCACTAGGTTGGTCAGGCAGGACTTGCCCTTGGTGAAGCCATGTTGGCTGTCTCAAGTCACTACCTTCTTCTCCATGTATAGCTTCTAGGATGATCTGTTCTGCGTCACAGAGGTGAGGCTGACTGGTCGGTAGTTCCCAGTATCCTCCTTTCTGCTCTTTTTAAATATGTGTTCTATGTTGCCCCTTTTCTAGTCACCTGGGACTGATCTGACTGCCATGACTTTTCAAATACCACAGAGAGTGGCTTGGCAACAACATCAGCCAATTCCCTCAGGACTCTGGGATGCATCTCATTGGGTCCCATAGACTTTTGTACATTCAGCTTCCTTAGGTGGTCATGAACCTGACCCTTTCTTACAGTGGGGGAGGGACTTTGCTCTCTCAGTTCCCATCCTGTTGTCCATTCACTCATGAGCTGTGGGAAGAGACATTGCCATTGAAGAATGAGGCAAAAGAGTTGCTGAGTACCTCAGCCTTCTCCTCATTCGTTGCTATCAGTTTTCCAGAATTGCTTATTGGGAGTATACCTTCTTTGGCCTCCCTTTTCTGGTTAGTATACTTGTAAAAGCCCTTCTTGTTATTTTTTTGCATCCCTTGCCAAGTTCCAACTTTGCCTTGGCCTTCTTCACCCCATCCCTACACAACCCATCTTCATCACTATGCTCTTCCCAGGTCTTTGTTTCCACCTCCTGTGCATTTGCTTCTATTCCTATTCATTTTTATTTTGTCTGAATATTTTATATATGGATATGAAGTTTGAGATTAGAAATAAAAAGGATATCTGTACCTACCAAGCCACCAAGACTTCCCTTTTCCTCTTATGTCTTTATAGTTCAGTTTGTAGACACCATTATTTTGTATTACTTGGATGCTCGGTAATTTTCTTTCTGAGACTGACTTACCAGCTGTTACTGTCTTGAAATGTACTGATTTTCACTTTTCACTTAAAATTCTCAGTTCTGTGTTTCCATTTCCCAGCTGTATTTCACCAGCAGACTTCTTAGTCCAAATGGAATTTCTTGGACCTTGATCTTAATCAATGATCTAGAATTTCCCAGAGAACTTTTTGGTTTCTCCAGACAGATATGTTATCACTCACAAAGGTCATGTAAGAGCTATCCCTTTGCTTTGTAACTGGATAGTTTTTTCCATGTGTAGACAAAATTTTGATTATCAGCACAGCAGTTATATCTGTAGGGACTGTGTGTTACTAATGCTGATGCAAGAATTAAGGCTACTCGTTTGACTGAGATTGTGTTAATGGAGACATGAATAGATAAGTCCTGTGTGTCCCACTCAGCTGAATTATACTGAAAGAAAAAGGAGTGACAGCATTAATATTATATTCACTTTGTGCAGAAACAGCTTTGAGGAAAAAGCAGCAATCTGCAAGTAAGTTTTCACACAGGAATTAAAATCACAAAGACTGTCTATGCATGCATGGTCTGCTGACCAGCTAGATCACCAGCTAACTCAGACAATGCTATGGTTTCTGCCTGAGCACTTCCAGGAATCAGCTTGCAAAAGCAGTGGTTGTATTTCCATGTCTCAGCACTGTGAGGATGTGTCATGCTTGTGGCTGGATTTATAGCTGTGGCAGTTGGTCTGATGGACCACTTCTTGGTTTCTTTGCTGCAGAAAGAGTTATGGAACCATAGTATGGAACCAGGAAGCTGATCTGCTTGATATATATGTTATCATTACTGGATAAGCATTTTGGGAAGCCACAGAAATAAAACTGATCATATGGTATGCTACGGTTTTTTCTTCATTTTCTTTCTGTAGATCTCTAAGCTGTGGTCACGTTTAACATAGATTTCTGATTATTTTTGAGAGGTATACCAAGCTCCTTGTGCTTGAAACAAAGACCATGAACTAGAAGAAGAAACTAGATTAGTGGATATACTATACCAGAAGTTTTGAATACTCCATTTTATTGCAAAGCCCAAAAAATGTCTGGCAAGAGTGATCCATCCAGCAGTGACATCACTGTGTCAGTGAATGCCAACACTCTGCATGACATTTCTGTTTCTGAGAAATTATTTCTGAGATTTCAATATTAACATTTTTCAACCACAGAAGTCAAGAGAACACATTAGGTATGACTGGATTTCACTGCTTGCTTACATCTGATCTGGAAGACAGTGCTCTTCGATCTTATCCAGATGGTCTTCTCAATTTCTAAATTGCTATGTCTGTGACACATTATGATGCTTCTGCTTAGACATGCATTTTATACCTTTCATATTATAAAAAGTAATAAAATGAAACGTCGAAGAATATTGAAAATAAATAAACTATTCTTTAGTCAAACAGATTATTCTTAAACTGGTGAATAAGGCTGTTCAGCTCTTTTGGGAAGGCTAATTTCCATTACAGACTCCATCCCAATTGTTGGATGAGATCTAGGTTGTGATGTTCTGTGCTTTAATTTTTTCATCTCTATATTTTTAAATCACTATACATCACTATATCACTATTGGTTACTATTTCAGATGTTGCCTCTGGAACATTTTTCTGTATATGTGTCCATATTAGATAAAAATTGATTGTGCTTCTTCATCATGCATGGACTTTTTCTCTAAAATATGTATACGGTCAATTTCCTCCTCTTGGTGTAAATCTAAGTTACCCCTGTAACACTGACTGAGCTGCTGCAAGTCAGAAAAATAACTAAATAGCTTACTCTCAAAGCTGTACACTGAAGTTTTTAGCTCTGCTGTTTTGAGGTACAGGATAACTTGCTTCTAGAAAGCATTTGGCTTTTCCCACTCCCTATCCAGCTTTGCTTCTATATGTACAATCTTTGAAAGGATTTACTACTGTGATATGACAGGAAATCATCATACCTATCTGAGTACATAGAAAGGTCAGGGATATCAATAGGTTAATTGCCTGGGTCGTTTTTTATAGGAGAAGAACATTTGCAGCTAATAAATCTTTAATGATATAGAACCTGGTTCATTGGAAAGCCCCAATATTCAAGACTAGAACACTAGACTCAAAATGATGAGCTATTCCGTTGACAGATTTTGCTGCAAAAGCATGTCAAATTTTCCTTGTAAGCAGATCCATAGCTAGTAATGATTTAAATCATGCTTGTCAAACATAAACAGGATTTGTCCTGCAGTCTGCATTAGCTTAATATTTTTATATTTTAGGACCTACTAAGAGGTGTAGTCAGGAGGCAAAAGACACATTATTATGAGTTATTTTTAGAGGAAGAACTTGGATCTAATATATGGAGTTTTTGAGTTTGCCAAGATTAACATAAAGCAGATTGAATTCAGAAATTTTCTCTTCTTGAATTGTTCTACAAAGAAAAGATATATTGCAATGCATTAAATATATCATATTTTGTCAAGGAAATTGCATTTCAAATTGCATTGAAATCAGGACATCTGTTTTGAAACAGAGATACTGTAGCTAAACCCACTGGTGAAACCCAGACACACATCTGCCCCTTGAGAGGAAGCTGCAGTTTAAAATATTTCTCCCAATACCTTTGCTGAACTTTCTGAGTCATCAAACTCCTTCAATAGATTGATAAGAATTGTCTGCAATAATTGTCATTATGTCCTTAGAAACATTAGTGTGTGCTATGAAGCTTGACTGACAGTTTGATTTCTGGTGAATTCTTTACTCTAAAGGAGGAGGAGTTTCTTAGGAAGTGTTACTTTGCATGATCACAAAAGTATATGTTACTGTTCTTTGCCAAAAATTCATTCACACTTTGTGTTGCAAGCAAGTGAGATACTAATCAGAACATACGAAATTAGTAGTCTTAATTAATATGAACTGAAAGATATTAGCGATTCAAAGCACCTGAATCACCTGTCCACTCACCTCTTCTCTCTTCTTACTTTCTCCTTCTAATTGCTAAGTATCAGAAGTCTGTTCAGCACAGGAGAGCAGGCAAATTTGATTCTCCTCCTGATGGCAGGAGTCTCCTTCTGATGACACCGCTCTTAGGTAGTACCAGAGAGTACCATGCTGGTTTTGGAAGAAGTTAATGCAACACATCTCTGCTTTGATGCTGCTCACTACGTTCCCTTCCTTTCCTTCAAAGAACTTTAGCTCTCCATTAAATTTCATTACATCTATTGTACAGGTAAAGACAATATGGGTCCCAGCACTGCAGGTGACATGGAACCACACCAGCCTCTATCTGGTAAAATGGCATGTAATGTTTATATGTACATCCTGCACTCTGTGCTGTAGCCAACATCAAATAAATCCAACTATCCCCAATATATCTTCTCCTGTTACTTCACACCTAAATATCAAATGGAAATACCTTTTGATCTGACTCTTTTGGGTTTTGCTAATGAAGAGCCAGATCAGTAACTAGAAATCCCAGAACATGTCTGCCCAACAGGAGCTCACAGAAAGAGCAGTAGGAGAAGAGGTCCCTCATGACTTGGGTGACCTGTTTTCAGCTGTGCAATTCTTTAGTCTGACAGCAGATAATAGTTTAATTTCTCATTGTTTAGTGACAGGAAATATTCTTACAGTCAGCTGTAATAAGATGGTGAAAATGGGCCTGTATTCCAGACAGTTTGAATTGCAGCCTTGTACCTGTCCTCAGCATCTTCTCTTGCACACAACTGCCTAGAGCCAGCAAACTAACTCCTATGGGTTTGTGAATACAAGCTCTGCTCTTCTGCTGCTGGGTCTGGACTTGAGAAGACAAAAGGTTCAACCAAATACTAGTTAGTGGACTGAGATGAGTCCACTAACTCTGGCTGATATGAGATTCAGGTTACTCTGATTTTAAGTGTCTGCAATAAGACCCTGGTGACTAACAGAAGCTGCAACAAATAGAGTGCAGCCAGCACTGTGTGCAAAGCATAGAGAGTTAGTCTGTTCATCAGGTGCAGGTGCCACCCTAGGCTGAATTAAATAGCTCTCAGCTCTACTGACTACACCAGATCTTTGGTGACTCTAGTGAGAGCTTAGTCACAGAGTTTATGTATATGTACCCACATTACTAATACCTGTGGTAAAATGAGTTTAATCCTCCTCTAAATCTACTTTTTCATCCCAAACTCAGAGATGTCAGTAATCTTTTCAAAGTCATCTATTTTGTGTGTTTTAGGAAGAAATATGGATTTGGAGTTATACTAGTATAACTATATTTCCTAGGAAAATGTAGAGATGGATGCATATTTCCTAAGAAATTTTCTGAAATACTTGCCAAGATGGCTTTATTTATCATTTATTGTTTGTCTGCCATTGTGTGTGTGTGTGTGTGTACACACATATGTACCCACGTGACTGCACACACACATACATACTGTATTTTTGTGGTAAATAAAAATGTCCTAAGTCTTTAGCTTCAGCTTTTGCTATACTATTTTAAACTGGAAAAAAATGCTCACTTGCTTACTGCAATGCATATTAGAAGGCAATTAATATTTGTAAAATGCAATGAAGTACTAAGCACCATTACCTTATTGATGACTGGAAATTTTAACTCAGCTTATACATCACTGTATTGCCTTTTGCATATGGATTGATATTACTCTATTCTGTGCAATAGGCTTAATCTTCAAGAAGAAATACAGTAAATATCTTGTTACCAGAAGCACCCTAAATCCAAACACAGGGTATAAGGTGAAGTGAGATGCCACAATCATTATACCTGCATCTGTGATGGTATATAGCATTTCTGGGATTTGATAATTGACTCTGTTTTTTAAATAGCTTGCCTTGGTCAACTCATTTAGTAACAAGATTTCCAGTGCAGCCTTAATTTAATGTGAAATTTGTCTGATTTCTGATATTTGGACCAGGTGGTCAAATGACCTAAGTACTGAAATGCCTTTTTTACTGATTTAGTGGGAATAAGTTGACTGAATATCTTCAGGATTCTTGGATGATAATCTAGGCACCAGAAATCTGAAGACGACATTGGTCTAAACTGAAATTTTGAGTGGATGACTCCCAGCTAGTACCCAAAATAATATCTGAGATATTTATAAGCAATACCTTTTAAAGCTAAAATACAGAATGCAACAATACTCAAGAAGAGACCAAAAAAGCTCAGTTCTTTACAGGAGAACAACTGATTCTTAAATTTCTTCACTAGTCAAAGACATTTTCTTAGACATTTATTTTTTGAGAGCTGCTGCACAGTTTCAAATGCTATGCTTCAGATTTCCCATTTATCTGGCATAAGAATGCAGGTGAACAAAGGTGAATACACTAAAATTTGGACCTGCCTTTCTCTTTTTTGCTGAATATTGCATGACATGGAGCCTCTTTACTCTGAGTACTGCATGACACGAAACAACAAAAATCCTCTGCCAGATTATTAGGTGCAAAAAACCAGAACAAATTTATTCCAGTAATTTCGTTTTGTAAAGTTGATGAAAGGCAAGCTGTAGCATAAATGTGCATTACTACATCTGGGCTCAAATCCTAGCACGTCTGACAAATCTTTCTGATGAGGAATACTCTTGGGATCTCAGAGTTAAGTCCTTCACATTTAGACATATGAAAACAAGTGAAATTAGCTTTTCTATACTGTACCTGTACAGATGAAACTTGATAATCCTCCATAGATGACATCATCATTGTCTGGTAATATAAAGGGACACCTCGTTTGAACCTCCAAACAGTATTGCTTGCAAGGAATTCTGTTGCTGCAGTGAAACTGTGTGACTTCAAAATACTGGGAACAGAGCCAGGCTTTGTAGACAGTCTGGAAAAAAGAGAAGAACCAGAAGTATAGATGGATGACAATAGAACTGTCATTAATAGAAGAACATACTGTACTTCACTCCTACATTAATGTTGCTTCTGAGAGAAAATTTTGAGCGAATATCACCTGGGTAAAATACACTCAACTTTTGACTGTCTTCCCACTTCAGAAATGAAAACTCCAGCCAAGTAATTTAAAAGCAACAGTTAGTCAGGACTAGGCTTATGCTGTTATTTCATCTGAGTTTGTAAACAAGTATGTCTTTTAGATGCGACTTTTTAATAGACACATGCATGGCACACACCGCTGTCCCTGCATCTTCTCATAAACTGGGATCTTAACCTCATTTAAAGCTGGTCTAAAACAAATTTATGAAAGTGCATGCAAGAAAGCATTGAAAACTGGGCTCAGGCCAGCCCTGTTCTTTATAGCATCTAGAGCTAAGCTATCAGGTTGCAATAGATGGTGCTACTTCCCTTCAAATAAAACCTTATCCAGTCCACAGAATTAAAACACACATTAGGGTTCCTGAACACCAACAGCTGTAGACTAGGGGATAAATCTGCCATGGTGAGGACCAATGTCTACATTTGGGAGCTGAAAGGAAGACTTTAAGGATCCTGTCATCTGATGCTGCATAGCCATGGCTGCAGGACCTGTGATTATTGGAATTATTATCCTAATTTAAACAGGAAAGTAAAATAAACATGCTGATTTTAGTTTCTACTGCCTTTTCTCTTCTGAGCAGCAGTGTTTTCATATGCAAATGGATCGGATACCAGGCTACAAAGGTGTTGAAAAACCTGTGTGACTGCGTTCAGAGAGGTTTGCTTGTTTACCATTTTATTTTCAACTTATCTCTTTTGAAGTACATTATTTACTGCCTAGATACATGCTATCGAGGTTGTTACATAAGAAACATTTCCTTTTGTTGGATTCATTCAGAATATCTGAAAATCTTACTGACCACCTTTCTTTTATCACTGGCTGAAGAGCAATATAGTCAGCTGATCACTTTCCTTCTTACTAGACCTGTTTTTAATAAAAAAGGAAACATTTTAAATTTTTAAGCAATGGAAATGAAAAAATTGACACCTGAAAAGAACAATCTAGATGAGAGTTTGGTTTGAATTCAGTATGTTTCATCTCATCGGTTGTAATTTTATTGATGTCAATAGCAGCTTAAATTGTATAATTATTTTCAATATAGTAGTCCCAGAATCACGAAACTTGTATTTTAGTTTGTTTGCAACAGTGGCAGGTATGGGTAAGGTTGCTAGGTAATAAAGTGAAACCTTTATCACTAATCTGTGGTTCGTGATTATCTCTTTATTGCAGCTTTTGCCTATTGCACTCTGTAGAACACGAGTTTTTTCATTACAAATTAAATTTTAATTGCTTACAAAGGTTTCTTATTCACAGTAAATGATTAACGAGAAGGAGGACTAGGAGATGTGTGTACTTTTCATCTTAAATAAACTTCTAATCAGAAAGTGGTTTTCCTGGTGTTGACTATAGCACCTGCCACAGTTTTGATTCTTCAGTTGCTATATAGACAATCACGACAATAAATGAAATAAAGTAATTGTTTTTCTATTTTCAATTACTCAGTGAATATAGTCTGTTGGTTGGAAAGAGGAGTGCTGGGTCTGATAACAGATAAACATTCAGGGATGTTCTTTCCTGATCACTAATACTGTGGCCCTGTTTAGTATGAACTCACATGTTCTTTTCATATTCTAATTGTTCTACTAGCACTAAGTTGTTTTGTGAACCATATTTGAAAACTTACAACAGTTTTTAGGGAGTGTATTGAACAGTGCACCATACATGGTAACAAGAAAATGAGCAAACCCATGTGTCTACTTAAGCAAGACAGGAAATAAATGTTTATTCAAGAGCAGAAGTAAATAATGCAATCGTGAGCCTCTGTGAAGAGTTTTATGTACCCAATCTCAGTTCATACACATCATCTTCCTGCTGTGATTCACAAGTTCTTTGGCTCAAAATTACATTTGAATTCTTGTCCATATTTGTAAAGAATGCATGAGTCTACCTGTTCCTGAGATCTGTTTCTCAGATAAATGCCTCCCACTCTGTATTCCTCTTTTATTTTCAGCCAATTTGAAACTTGTCTTCCATCTATATTTAGTGTTTTAATATTCTGGTCCCATTTTGCTCTGTTTTGGCCAGTGACGTTACATGGAAACTCAGATTTTCAGAGTTCTGCCTGGATACGAACTTAGGTCATATCACTTTGGGGTGAGATGTTGATACTTATCAACATTTTTACCCCCATGCTTTGCTTTCTTCAAAAGAAACTTTAGGTTTGTGATACAAGATATCTCTGCAGAACACTGTAAGTATACCAAGAAGTAGCAGGTAAAACCCTTAGGGTGTCCTGAAAACTAGCCCAGAAGACAGAAGAAGCTGATGGTTCAATCATTCCCACAAGGATCCTCCATTATTTTCAGGGTTTTTTTAGGCTTGAGAACTGTCATGAAAGAATCTAAGTAGTTTTGGGAGTGAACATCATGGAAAAGTAACCATTTAACACTTGAGTACTTGCAGTGAAGCTGAGATGGAATTTAAAGTTACAACTGGATAAAGAAAAAGCAGCATAGGCTTGGAGCAAGAGAAGGCTCATCCATGGTGCCTAGCTGTCAGTCCACTACCTGCAAAGCTTGGCCTGTGCTAACTCCTGTCTTTCCAGAGAGTGGTCAGCCATTGTCTGGGAATAAGTGTATTCCAAGCACTGCACCCAGTAAGGAGTTTTATTATTTTCTGGAGAAAAGGGAAAAAGATCTAGGTGTTTCCAGATGACCTGTGCTTGGTCAGCTTGTAGATCAGAGAATAGTCCCTCTCCACTCTTACTTACTACTACAGACATCATTTAAATGCTCACTTTCCCAACAAAGATCCCAATTTACCTCTCCTACCCGTCTTGGACTTTCTAGGCACCAAAGGTTTCACACAGAAATCTTAGTTTCATGCCTGAATATCTGCCACCCAGGAGGGAGTACAGAAGTGGGAGATATTTGTGCATATCACTCTGCCCAATAGCATTTGCATGAGTCCTTTGGCTGACTCAACTGTGTAAGAAGATCCAGAGCAGTCCAAAGTCTTTGCTCTGTTTCAGTGATAGCGAAAGGTGCCTTTTTAGCTTAAGCATTAGAAACTTATGTTTTGGAACTGAAATGTATTGACATTTCTTGAAAATTTCCTAACAGCAAACCAGATACTATGGCCTTTGATCAGCCAGTATTCCTTCTTATGCCTGGGAAAATACAGTTTTTAATTGTTTGGGAAGTTTGCTCTACCTCCTGGCAAATCCAAAATGCTGATTTCCAGAGTCTTAAAACATGCATTGTATAACAAGGCCTGAAAGTATCAATGAAAATGCATATTGGCCTGTATATTGAGTGTGGTGTTCACTTTGCAGACTATGCTTTGCTAACAGGGTCTTTTTCCTTTTTAAAGAACATCAGTAGCTAAACCCAAAGATTTATAATCACAAGAAATGCTCCTCAAAAAATGTTTCGCATAGAACTCTTTAAAGTATTAGTTAAATACTATTAGTATTTTCCTATTTAACTTTCAGTGTGTCAATGGAAATATGAAATGTGGATTTGAGGAGAAGACCATGCCTTAAATAGACAATTAAAGAAAAAAAAGCTATAACTGACTCCCAACATGAACTGAACTGAGTTATAAGATGGGAAAGATAAATACATTATAGGGAAAATATGAGAATAAACAACTATCAGCAGTTTTTGAAGAAACAAGAGGATATCTAGTGATTGAAAAAAACCAACTTCAGAACTTTAGAAGACTAAAGAATCATTTCTGTTAAGAGATATTTTATTCATTTAAGTCAACCTTACCTTGTTCCTGCAGGAAAAAAATTAAAAACTACACTTTTGAAAAAGAGCACCAACCAATGGTGGCTTTATATATCTGTTTTCATACGCATGAGTGCCTACCAAGAATGATCATCATCAAAATCACCTGGGTAGCTAGAAATTATTAATAATATCATGATAAGTGCATATTATTAATTGGGCAGATTAAATAATTATTTGGCATTTATTTTATTTGTATTGTACAAGTTTCAAGCCTGTGTCTGAAAGTAGAAAAAATATTTTATGATTTCAGTGACCGATCCCCCAACACAAATAATCAGCTTCAGCAACACAAGGAATGAATGCTTCACAAACAAACCAGACACTAAACTACATTAGCTTGTCAAATTGTTCCAGATGATAAATGGATTCAGAGTTAAAAGGAACTCTGGAGTATTTTGAGAAACTAAAAGGGCCCAGCATATGCTTTTTCTCTCTGGACATTAGGAAGAACACTTATTTTTTGTCTCTTTGTGGGGATTAGCAATTTGGGTATCATCCCTTTTTAGGGTATTCTGTGTCTCATATCACACATGAGGCTAGAATGTCTGGGTTATTCTTTCTGATCTTGAAAGACAAGCTGACAGAGCTATTAGTTAATATGGTTCCATTAATTGCCTAGAGAGGGGCCAGTAGCTTCTGCCCCCAGTGTGCATAATATAGCTAGGTAGAACAGTGCATTTGCTGACCACAACACCAGCAATTACACTAGCAGACTTCCAACTGGCTCTGCAACTGTGCAAAACTAATTTTAACTAGATGATCTTCCAACCCAGGCCATTCTATGATTCTATGATTTTATTATTTTATTTACAGAGACTGCAAAAACAATGGGAAGATAAAGTTGTATTTACTATGCGTCTATGTCCACAGTTTCCCTCCCTCCCCATCTCATTCTCATTCACTCGTACATACACAATACATGTGATTCTGGATAACCTAATTTCTGTCAAAACATATTGAATATGTAGCCTTAATCATCTGAATCACACTGCATGAGAGGTATCAGTAGAGCAGAATGGAAAAGCTCAATCATTTTCATTCTCTACACCTCTCAATTCTTCATTCTTCCCATGTTGTTCCTGACTGCCATTGTCA